ATATATATATAATAACATATATATATATATATATATATATATATATATACCCGTATACACATTCACACACAAAAGCACATACACACACTCACAGTGATACATACACATGTCCAAACAGACACACAAAGATACACATATGTCCACACAACAGACATACACAGATACACACATGTTCACATACACACACTTACCGGCCACACAAATACACACACTTACTGGCCACACGCGTACACACTCACCGGCGACCCACACACACAATTGTGATCGTATTTTGCGTCAAAAAGTGCAAGCGGATTTGTCGTGTCTGTGACTGTGAATACATTCAGATCGCCTTTTCATTGGACGTCACTTTTTTCGTAGTCCTATTACTCTGCGAAGATTCAGTTTTTCAGGTGCAAATGTAGAAATATTTTATGGCCGATTTGCCCCCGATATACTTTGATACCCAAAGTCCCTCCCTACAACCCTACCTCCAAAAGTTTGGGTCTATCCATTCCCAAAACCCAACCCTAAACTATCACAACTCACAACTTGACAAGTGTCAAGTAGAGGCAATATACTTTATAAAATAAATAAAATATAGCAATATTTTTTTTAAAAAGCGAACAAGCTATGTATAAATAGCGTCGCAATAGCCAGTTATAGCGACTCTCAAGCTGTTCTACTATTGTTCAAAATTTGTTTGGCCTTTGTAAATATTGTCCCACATAAAAGTTGTGCATAATTTTTAAAAACAAAATTTAAATTAACACAGGTGTTATTCCGACGACCACATAATATTATAAGAACGTGGATTTTTATATGCAGTCCAGATCAAAATTGCACAGAAAACAATCAAACAGGCCAAAATACATCGTAAACGTAAGTACGTAACACGGAGGGCAAAGTAAACGTTAAAGTTAAGCGATTAACCAAGAGTCCGAGAATAGCATAACGTTATGACTTGTCACTTTTAAAAAATGAGATCCAAGACCCAAGACTAAGAGTGTCCAACTATTTACTCTTTCTCTATTTTAAGAGCAATAGTAGTAGTAGAGAGAAATATTTATTTTTTTAAAAGAGGGAGAGAAAGAAAAATCAGAGCTACTGTACGTATGACGTGCTTTTCAAAAAAAAATTAGAAATTGCAGAACGCAGAGAACTTGCGATTCGCGAATGCGCGAGTTGAGAAGGTAATGGAAAAATAAGTTGTTGTTTGTTTAAAAAAAAATAGACTTCGATTGTAAAATAAGCAAACGTTCTTTCAGTTGGTCATTGGTGCCTTAAAATCCCAATTCTTTAAAAATTCCTCCTTCTTTCAATCAGACGTGCCATGTAAAAGGTTTTTACATTTTGAGTAAAAATGAAGTAGTCTCGTTGAATTCCTGCAGTTCTATTTTCTCGGAAATGTACAAATATGTGAAAGTGCCAAGGCTCACTGCCTCGAGTCGGCCCTCGAATAGTCGAAGTTTTTACTTTCATATAATTTAGTAAAACATGTTTTTTTTAACAAAACAAAGAATAAGAAGTAAATATCTCGCACAAGTCTCAGTTCTCTCTCAGTCTCGTCTCAACTCTCAAGTCTCTCAACTTTCAAGTTGCAACTTTTCAGTCTCTTCTCCTTTAGCTGAGGCCCTGAGCCTGGCCTGAAGGCCTGAGCCCTGAGGCGGAGGCCTGAGATACTTAGAGTTCAGACTTGTCATTCCTTGACTCCTGACACTTGACTTGCAGATTGCGTCTCGAGAGGCTGAACTTCTGAAGGCTGAAGCCTGAACATTTTTTTTTAAATATATGAAGACTGAGTCTCAGTAGGTAAATATGTTTTTTTTAAAGTAAATATAAAATAAGTACTAAATAAACATTCTCTCTCTCCCACATAGAGTAGTAGAGATGTGTTCGAGAGTGAGAAAGGGTGCGAGAGAAGGTGTAAATATTGGTTTCTTTTCTGTTAAAAAACAAAACAAAAATGGTTTGAAAGAGAGAGACAGAAGAGTGACGAATTGAAGTCTGAAGACTTAAAACCTGAACAGCCTGCACTCACTGCAGTCTGCACTCTGAAGTCTGAAGTCTGAAGTGAACTCAGTCTCTGCCGAGCTTCAACTTCACTGAGCTGAAGACAGGCGTCAATGTTTTTTCGTCTTCTTCAGTTTTTGGTTAAAAACGATAAAAAAATGAGAGCAATACATTTTTCAATTATTCCAATTGAAGTCCTCGGGTTTTAACCGTGTTTAAAAAATAGCTCTGGTATGCAAACACTTTAAAACAACATATTCACTTTTAAAAACCATTGTGCAATTGTTATTTTTAAATAAAATTACCAAATCAGTAGTAAGACTATTAGTAGCAATGGCAGACTGGCATTCTGGCAGTACAAGAAACATCATGACCATTTTCAAGAGCCGCATACAGAAACGAAAATTCGATGTTCGTTTTTGTATATAATTAAGCAACACTCACCACAATTGGTATACGACCAGTAGAGTAACATCAGCTGAAATACGGTCGACATATTCTAAGATGCAGTACCAAGCAGCAGCTTTAAGTGCCCTTGTGGCCATTGCTGCCGGCGCCACCCTTAACGCTGATAACACCAACTTCGAACAAGTCATCAGTGATGCAGCGAGCGGTGACTCAGTTATGCTTGCAGCCGGAACCTATGCAGTTACAACGCCTATTGTTATCGACAAGACCCTAGAAATTGTAGGGGAAGGTGCAGATTTTGTAGTTGGGTCTGCCGCCGATGCCGTATTCGCCTTCGGTAATATGGAGGGATACGCTTCCACGCTTGACCGGCTTACTGTTACTACAGCTACTGGTTCAGGGTGTGCATTGGGAGAACCATATGCACTGCAAGCAAACTTTAGCATTGAGATTCTGGAGGCATATGTACGTAATAACAACGTCAACCTCAGAACTGATGTTGGTGTCTGGCACAACGAGCGAAAGCTTAACGATTTCTATTTTGAAGACTGTCACTACTCTGTTGACCATCCCGAAAAAATGTCCGGCGGTATCTACAAGCTTATGGGCAACTGTCGCTCAGAGTTGGATTTTAGTGTGGCTTTCAACAAGCTAGGAGGAGCAGCCCCCACAGGATGCGGCACCACCATTAAAGATTACGGACGTTTTACTTCCTATGAAGCTCAAATCGAAGGACAATGGGAAGAGTATGTTGAGAAGATCAGCGATGAGGAAAACCTGCGAATTCCGGTGCTTCGTGAAGGTAATGCCGTCACTAACATACTGGTACAAATTGACACTGTTGCTAACGTCGCCGCTACTATCAATTCAAAGTGGAATAACACTTTAGGTTGCGATCCAACAAGCACTCCCGACTGTCCAGCGAACTGTTACCCTGGATCAAATGCCGCAGCATGTCAGCCCACTGGTTGCGAACCAACTACTACCGAGCACTGCCCAGAGGAATGTCATATGTATTCCACAGACCCAGCATGTTACCCTGACGGCTGTGACCCTGCGACAGATCCTCTCTGTCCAGAGACCTGTCACTTGTACTCAAATGACCCTGCATGCTACCCAGGTGGTTGCGATCCTGCCACTAACGTTGCTTGTCCCAGCAATTGTACTATAGGTTCCACCGAACCAGAGTGCAACACTGGCGGTTGCAATCCCGATGTGGATGAGCACTGTCCCGTTACTTGCAGACCTGGTTCAATTGACCCTACCTGTCAATCCAATGGATGTACCATCGAGACAAATATTTATTGTCCCCCTCAGTGTCACATATACTCCACTGAACCCGAGTGTTACAACCCCGGAGGTTGCGATCCTGATGTTATCGCTGACTGTCCCGATACTTGTTTGGAAGGTTCAACGCTACCCGAGTGTAACCCAGGAGGTTGCGACCCTAACGACCCTGTGCAATACTACGGATGTCCCGCAGAGTGTAATATGTACTCAACGGCACCGGAGTGTAACCCGTACGAAGGACCCATTACTGGTTCCATCACGACCAAGGCAATCCACGCGGCTACTGGAAACCCATTGGCGGGAGTTGAAGCTCAAATTATTGACGAGGAAGGTAATGTTGTTGACACTCAGTTGACTAACGAGCTGGGTGTTGCTACTTTCCAACTGGTTGAAGAGGGCCCGTACACTGTCAAGATTCTTACAGAGGTCACAGATCCTGTTTATGGAACAGTTCAGCTCGTGGGAGACCCCGACCCGGACAATATTATCGACGCAGAAACCACCGTGACAGTAACCAGAGGCCAGACTAGTAATGCTGGTGTTTTCCCTTACGATAACGAGGGTACCATCACTGGTCGACTTACTGCTGGCGATTTCAATACTCCTCTTATCGGTGAGCCAGTCCAGCTGAAGAATGGTGCTGGTGTAGTTGTTGGTTCCACTGTCACTGATGGCGAAGGGCGATATGCTTTTGTCAAGCTAAGTACTAGTCCTCAGGACTACCAAGTCATCGCACCTGATGTCAGTTTGTTCGATGATATTCTTGAGGACGAGCCTTTCGAGGTGAGCGACGGCGCCCTTGATGGTCTCTACTTTGTGCCTATCTCTCCCACTGCCACTTCTGTTGCGAACGTTGATTTCCACTACGTAGCACCACCAGTGCCAGTTGATCCCACTAGCAACATCACTGGTAAACTTTACACCACTACCACTGGTGCGCCGATTGGAGGAGTAACCGTCGAGTTGACTGACCCTATCACGGATGAGGTGATTGCTACCACTACAACCGGACCCGATGGAACTTACATATTCACCGATGTTGTCCCAGGTACTTCGTATATCATTGATACACCATCTGAGAACCCCAACGATCCCACATCGATTCTCACAAAGGATTATCATGACCCTACCAAGAGTGGAACCGAAACCCCTCTCTTCGTTACTCCTGGAACTGAGATTAAGAACGTCAATTTCGGATACACGCCACCAGCAACCATCGCTGGAAATGTCCGAAACACTCGTGATGAGATGATTTCGGGTGTTGACGTTGTCATGGTCAACAGCGCTGGAGAAACAGTTGGGAACACAGTTACCGATATCGACGGTAACTACAAGTTCGAGGACATCTTCAATATTGATATATACACTATCACCATGACCAAGCCTGCAGAGTACTTGCTGCACGCTGATGAGTTCGATGCCGAGAACGGAGAACTCAACGGTCAATCGCCAGTCGATTTCCAGGGTTCATCTATCAGTGATGTTAATTTCGTACTGACACAGCAGAACTCACTGACTGGTACTGTCACCATGGTGGATGGCACTCCTATTGAGGGCGTTCCCGTTACGCTCATTCCTCAAAATGGTGAGATCATTCGAGTCACTGTCACTGGCCCAAATGGAGAGTACACTTTCGACGATGTCCTCCTTGGAGAGCACCACGTTGATGTTCCCACGAACTTAAGTGGAGGTAAAAATCTTGCTGAAGATCCCGATGGCACCGTAGACGGTCACACCGTTGTGGTTGTAGATGTCCCCAACACGGCCACGGTTGTGCCCCCATACAAATACGATACGACCCCAGTTGTTCATCTGGGTAGTGTCACAGGTAGCACGCGTATCGCCAATACTCTCAACCCTATCGCTGACGTCACTGTCGAGCTACAGGACGCTACCGGATTCGTTGTGGCGTCTCAACAAACCGATGAAAATGGAACCTTCTTGTTCACAGATCTTCCCGCTGCGACCTACACCGTTGTTGCACCTGTTAACGTCACCTCTGTGATTGGAGATGTGTACATGACTGAGGAACCTGATCACGTTGATCCCATTGATGGTATTGTCGGCTCAGTGACTGTAAACAGTAACCCTGTTTCGCTACCGCCATACCTGTACACACTGGCTGTGATCCCCACCGGTTGCAATCCCGAAGTGGATCCCGATTGCCCCGCTACTTGCAATCCCTACTCCACAGCCCCCGCATGCAATCCCCCGGGATGCACTCCTGGTGTGGATGCCAACTGTCCCGCTACCTGCACTGAAGGTTCTGCTGACCCTGATTGCAACCCCGGTTGCGATACCGCTAACGATCCTAACTGCCCGGCGCAATGCAGCCCTTACTCGACATCAGCTCTCTGCAACCCCCCTGGTTGTGACCCAGCATTGAACGCTAACTGTCCAGTGACGTGTATTGTTGGATCAACAGACCCTGCCTGTAACCCAGGAGGTTGTGATCCTGCCACCAACCCTGATTGTCCCGAAGGTTGCCACCCATATTCCATTGCTCCCGATTGCAACATTGGTGGTTGTGATCCCGCTCTTGATGCGGACTGCCCCACTGAGTGCACACTATACTCCACCGATCCGGCATGTAGCCAGAGTGGTTGTGATCCAGAGGTTGATGCAGGTTGCCCACCCCAATGCAATGTCTATTCCATCCTTCCTGAATGTTCAGTGCAGCCCCCTGTGTTCGATATTGAGGCCGCTATCAACCTTGTCGATGTTGGTTTTTTCGATGGCTGGAATCACTCTAAGATCCGTTTGGAAACGCATTTGCCCTCTCCCTTCACCATTCGGGACAGTCTTGTCGGTGTTGTTGGCATGAGAGACGGGTCTTTCGAGGCTGAGGTCGGTTCGATCTCGCAGTACGTCTTTGAGCCTGCTTGCAACCAGATTGCTGATGGAGATGAGTGTATCCAGAATGTCGAGTTCGATATCGTTGCCTGCGACCTGACGGGTGAGTACTCTCTTGAGGGACTCATTGTTACTTGCCAGGCCGAGGATGCCTCTGGTGCCGCTCAGTCATGCCCCGCCATGACTGACTCCCAGATTTACCAGCCCAATGTGATCTTCTTCATTGATACCAACAATTTCTGTGAGGTGGAGGAGTTCGAGCTTGATGCTTTGTTCGACCTTCAGATCGAGGTATACGCTACTGAAACATACCAGACCCCCGAGACCATCTTTGATCTTGGAACTATGTCTTACTGGCAGATTACCGTCGATACTTCCGCCAGTGGAGTGTCTCTGTACAACGCTGAGGTGACCTATGTTGAGCGCACCACAGATGGTGACTGCTCCGCATTCGACGACTACATGGGCGACATCGCCGGTAATGCTGAGTTCTCTCAGACTTACGAGACCAACGCCCAGACTATCTCCATGCCCTTCCAGGTTACATCCCAGATGGCTTGTGCCACTTCTGACCGGACCGGTAACGCCATCACCATGAACTTCACTGTCTTGGTTGACTACGATGATGGATCAGGTGCCCGACGGCGTCGTTCAGCTGACGGTCTGATGACCCGTGACGCTGGTGAGGTTGCCGTCGATAAGGAAGCTGGTGTGCGTTACACCGCTGAGGACCTTGCCCAGGCTGCCGCTGTCGGAGCTGGAGCTGCTGCTGGAGCCACCGCAGCTAACCAGGAGGAGGAAAGTAACATGATGATGATCGGTGGAGCTATTGCTGCGATTCTACTACTATGCTGCTGCTGTTGCTGCTGTGTAGCTGCCGGTGTTGTTATGATGCGTCGTCGCAAGAAGGCCAGCCAGTTGAACGACTCGTTGGTCTCACAGCAATCTGCTATGGGCTTCACTGATGGTACTTCTACCATGAGCTTTAACGGACAACCGAACTACCCACGCGGCCAGTCCAAAATCTAGATAATGTAATGTTACTTTTTAGCTTTAAACTTGAGACGGATAAAGTCTTAACAATAAAATATTTCCAAAGTATGTTTTGACCCAAGTGAATGCATAGACGTTGTCAAAAGAACCCCGAAACCAAACAAAAAGACCTATCGAAATATCGATTGCTTTTTACGTTAAAGTTTTAAACGATTATACCATCTAAATAACAAAAAAACAACTTTATGAAAGGTAGACCTAAAATATAAAAAGACATTTTTGTTGTTGTTGGTGTTATTCTGTAAAAAAAAACTAGATGAAAAATGGACAGAACTATTTGCGAGAAAGAATATTTTATAATGTAGAATGGACTCTCTCCAAAAATTCCAACTTTTTACATGGCCCTCTCAAGGCCCTCTCAAGATGAAAACTGGACCCTCCCCAAAAATCATTTCTGAATTTCGGATTTCCAAAGTTCTTTTACAAAGGGTCCGAGACTCCGAGTCCGAGACTCCGACTGGGTCGTGCTTGTGCTTCTATTCAGTTATTTACGCGCCTAAATTGGTGTACCAATTGAAAACCACAAGAAAACAACATACTGTATTTACGACATGAACAAACCGTCGGAATTATATTTCTAGTAGAATACATGTTGTGGGGACATCAACAAGCTATTCAGTTACTTTTAGTACAAATATTTACGACATACTGATAGTTTTTTATGTAAATTATAATTTACCCGACTATGAATTTGTAATTGGAGCTGAGGTCTTGAGGAGACTTTTAGGGCCTTGCTCGCTTTTACTCCGTTGCTCCAAATAGATTTTCATCAGTGTACCACATATGGTCACTAATTACAATCAACGTATAAAAATATTTTAACTATTGACGAAATTGATAGAGCTTGTCTGCTGGAAAATAGTAGTAGTCGTCACTCATGATCTCATCTGACGCGCGCGTTCACTGTTCATGCACTTCATTGTTCAAAGAACCAAAGTTCAACAGACTGTTCACCTGTGCATTCTGAAATCTCAAATCTGAACGCGATAAACAAATACTAGCGTAGATATAAGATGACATAGGTGAGCGATTCTCGACATAAACGACGACAAAATCAGCTGCACGAGTCTATCGCATATATAGCATCACTCCTGCTGTATAGCACCAGTGTTGACACTATGATGGTATGTACTATGTAGTCGTATACTGGCTCGTTATTAGAGTGAGATATAAGAATTACAGACGCAATCAACAGTATACGTATATTCGCAATCAATAGTATACGTATATTCGCAATCAATAGTATACGTATATTCACTTATGTAAAAGACATACATGCATACATACATACATACATACATACATGCATGCATACATACATACATACATACATACATACATACATA